TGAGGATTCCTTGTTTTTCATCATGTTTGAAAGATCTTTTTTTTTAATTTTTTTTTTTAATTCTTTTCAAATTAAATTTAGTTACACGCTTGCTAGGCAGTTTTAATTTGAGAGCAATTGTTTATCTCATAGAGTAAATAATCGATGTTTCATTTGCTTTCATTTGCGCGTGTAGATTCGCTTAAAGTAATTATCGTTTTTATAATATCGTTTTAATCCATATTTTCCCCGCCGAGATTATCTTCAATAATAGATTTTTAATCTCATTAGTTGTCTTATGTATGCATATCTCGATCATTTGCAGTCGCTCAAGTTAACGACACCTTGTTCAGATGTCAGTAAGAGAAAGAGAGGAATTACTGAAACAAGTTGAAGAGAATACTCCCCGAATGATTTTTTTTTTTTTTTAATCCGCACGTTAAAGAAAAAGAGCTTCTGTATATATCATTGGACAAAAGTTTCATTCCACTTACCACGAAGAAAAATATTCTTAAATCTTTTTTTTTTTACTCTTATTGTAACTTTAATTCTGTATTTTCCATTTGTTTCATTTATGTCTTATTAATTCGTTTATTTTACATACATAAACGTAACGAAAGATTGACGAGACAAGTGGAATATCTTTCGAAATAAATCTTGAACCCTTATGACTATTTTAGACTTATTATTCTGAATGCTAATTCTTCTAACTTTTCTGTTTGCATACGGCTGTACGTGTTGAGACAAATTATAAACGAGATTCAAGTAACACCTCCCTGATTGCATATGTATATCTCAAAAAATATCCGCAGCTGCATCGAATAATGGCAGGTGCATAGCACAGAGGGAGAAAGAAAGAAAGAGAAAAATGCAAGAAAAACCGAGCAGCATTTTGCGCAGGCAGTATCATTCATTCTATCCAGTGAGAACGATAGCGGCAGCTTAGTAGACTTTTGGATTTAGAAGACTTCTAGATTTTAACTTATCATTAATAACAATTCAGTAGAAGACGCACCATCGTCGCGACTACGAGTCGTTCTGCTCTTCCGTTCTCCACTGGATGAAAGGATTACGTCGACGATTGAAAGTACGAATAATATGTCGAGTTTGAATGGAAGGAAGACGAAAAGCTTGAACGATATCGCTGAGGTGTTTAAAGTATCGCGCGGATACGACGAGTGGAGGATCTTGTTGAAAGTTCCATTGGGAAACGTAGCCAGCGAGCGATCTAAAGTTTTGAACGAGGGACGAAAGGATGTTTTTATTGTTCCTGTTCGAAAGCTCGATGATATCAGGCAAAGTAACAGCGAGGATGAAGCGAGTCTCCAGCAGGAGGAAGGGTTGAAAAAAGCAGAAGCTGAGAAGATAAGTCGCATCTTTAAGGTAATTCGTAAGGTGTTAAATCTCCCGAGTCCGCTGCAGATTTTCTTATCTTCTCGTTTCTTCTCGATCAGTTCGATTTTCTCGACGTAAGCCTGAAGAAACAGAAACGAATCCTGTCGGTGATCGACAGTTTCCTCTCGCTCGTCGTAATCACACCAATGACCATCAGTTTTTGGAGAGGAACGTGGACCTTCATGGACATTCACGCAGACATGTGAGTTCTCCGTCTAGACGCTTCTTCGTTAATCACTGCAGTGATAATCGATACGAAAAATCTATAAATAGCAGGGAAGAATTGTTACTAATTTTTTTTTTTAATAAAACGACTCGTTCTAATGATCTTTGCAAGTTATGAAGAGTGAAATTTACTCTACTGCAGTGACGATACGAAAAATCTATAAATAGCAGGGAAGAATTGTTACTAATTTTTTTTTTTTTTTAATTAAAACGAGTCACGTAAGAAATTATAAATAATTTTGAAACGTCCCTAGGTTCCCGGGATTGTTCACGTTCATCTTGGGTCTTTTAGTGCACGTGTGTTTCGCAATTTTGAGAAACTTCTTGCATGAACGCGTGCTCGTCGTGTCGAAAAAGAAGACCTACGCGAGCAAAATTCTTTGTAAATGTATACAAATTCTGTACACATACGTCTTCGGCGTTAGCTGCAATATGTATTGGAGAGGCGCCTGGATAATTTTCGACCGCTTCTTCTTTCATAATATTTGGTGAGATCATTAACTCGTGTTTTACTCTTCAAAAAACAAAAATCGAAAAATCTACAGGTTAAACTCTCAGATAGCTAAAAATAAAGTAACCGATAAAAGCTATCAATAAAGACGAAGATAAAGATATTGAATCTTAGATTTTAAATTTCTGCCAGGAAATATACAATAACTTATCATTAGTTATGTTTTTTTTTTACTATTTACCGACTGAAACTCTTGCGTTTCTTTTGAAGAATAACTTCAGGAATTATTTGAAATTTATTTTTAAAAAGTAAAGTAAAATGTTCTAATCATTTTCGATGATTTTGTACAATTTGCAATTGTATAAAAGTGTACACAATAATTTATTTATATCTTAAACAAGTATAAATAGATAGAACAAGGCGCTGGCAAGTCATGCTGAAAAGAATAGTTTGTTAATCGTCTTTGATATTTTCATTTCTTATGCTGATCTCTAAATTTATCGCTTTTAAACATAGATGTCTCGCTCCAGTAGAAATGCGATGTTAAGAAGTATTATCTCGAGGTTTTAAAGCATTAACGATAGTATGTCGATTGTATTCCCAAATGTACTTAATTGAAGCCACGTATAAACTGCTAGTTATGACAATTTATTTCCAAATCATAATCATTTAACCTATTTTTCACGTTCAAGTTACATTTATGATTCCTTGTTATTGATTTCTTTTTAGGATGGTTGTAGCCGCCACTTTGATGTCAGTGATGATTTTAGCGATCTTCCGATCAGTTCGAAATATCATAGCAATTCCGTCGGTGATCTATATCGATACACTCACGTTCGTCTTTTGGTTTCCAACAAGATACAAGTTGGTAAGTTAATTTGAAATAAATACTTAAATTATTAGGATTACTTTTAGGATCGCGATTTAGCAATTTTTCATGAAATTTTTGTTGAATATCAATGCTCATCGAGAGTCGATGACAAAAATAAACGTAGGGAGAAGGTTCCATCAATCAGCAAAATTATCGATATCGTTTTACTTAAAAACGATTCGCCTGAAACGATCCTAAAATTGAATTTTCATTAAAAATATTTTGCAAATATATCATGCAATACAATGAAGTTCACGAACTGTAAAAACTACGAAAAATGAATAAAATATGCATTTTAATGGCGAGACTTCCAAGCACAGTGAGACATGTTCGATTATTTTTGAAATATTGATAAGTGATCTGAAGCGATCTGATTCGATTATCTACTAATCGGTCATACTGTGACACAAAGAAATAAGTACATAACAATATGAAGTTTATTGTAGGAAAAAATATCGGAATTATAGTAAACTTTGTAGTACAATCTTTTGATACGGCGAAAGAGAGCTATCGTCAGTTATCACGTTATCTGTTCATTGATACTTCTGAATCGTGAAAATCGTCTACATCTTTGCGAAATGGAAAAATGACAAGTATCGTGTTTCCATGGATTTTCATAATTTTTAATCCGTATCACGCTTGTGATAATCGCCATGTTGACGATGATCGATTAATTTTTAATGTTAATTTGATATTTGACAACACAACTAACCACGAAACGCAACTTCGACTTTGGCTGATTAGCTGAAACATGAAAACAGAAGCTCGAGGTACGATTGTTAAAAACTCTTCATCCCCTCGAGTTTTCAGAATTCAAAATGTGAATCTACCAACGAAGTAAAAAATAAAATAAGAAAAGGAAGAGCCAACAACTTGAAGAATAAG